AAAGCTAGTCATAGTAACAGTAACATTTGTTGCATACTCACCCTGGTCAGGCACTGGGCCAGGTGCTTCATGTGTAATATTTTGTTTACTCCTCCAGGTAAGGCGCTAATATTATTGCCATTAAAAAAAATGAGGAAGTGAAGGTTTAGAGAGCTTGAGTAACTTGCTCAAATCGCCTAACAGGTAAATAGTGTGGCTGAGGTTTGAATCTAGGTATTCTGGCTCTGTTTTATGAAGACATTTATTTATGTTCCTGAGAGTTAAAATATTTTTGGTCATCCTATGACATGCTACTCATGCGTGCTACTCGGATGTAAAAATTGAGAAAGCTCTGCATCTTTTCAAAAGAACAGTGACATCTTAGGGACATGGTTGTGTACTGGTTTTCTCTGTAAACAGTACACTTATTATCAATCACCAAAAGGAAAGTAGTCTCAATGAGATGGAAATAAAAATTTGACCTGTGCCTCCTGGCAGAGGCTTCCAGGACCGATTACATAATGGCTGCAGTGAGGCTCCTCAGGGAAAACGGCTAAAAGACTGGGATGGCTCCAGCTCTCTTTTTCAGAGGTTACATTTGACTGTGACATTGGGCCTTTTCTAGATGTCATCCAAATATTTGAAAAGGAAAAATTTTCAAGCATTTCACCACATCTTCTGGAATACGTTTTCCTTGCTGAGTAATCCATGTTTTAAACAGTCAGGGAGTGTCTCTGTGTTGTTCCTGTTCTGTCATTGGCCCACGATTCTTCTCAGGCCTGGTTCATCCCAGGGGGAAAATATCGACTTCTCATCTGTAACGTCCCTTGTGTTTTAGAGCTGACCTTGTAGATGAGTTGGTATCTTTCCTCCTTAATTCTCAAAACTCAGTCATTTTAAGGTAGATTCCTGGAGATAGATTTTGCAGTTTACCAATATGGGTACAAAAGTTATAATCCATCAGTTCTTCTACAGGCAGTGGGCTTTTGCTGCCCTTTATCACAGACACGTTTTTAAAAATCGACCAATGGAATGATTAAAACAAGGACAAAAGGACTTCTACTACTGTGTAGATTTTGTATTTGTGCAATAACTTCTTGAAAATAGTGTCACTGTGCAAAAACTCGTTGCTTACTTAGTCCAAATTCTGAAAGATTTTATGTTTGGCTTTGGCTTTGTTAGGTGTCTGATCCATTGACTAAAAGTGAGTGGAATTCTGGAGAAAACGCAAGGAAGAGATGAGACTGAGAGAGGAGTAAGAGCCAGCCAGCACAGGTGGCCTTAGAAGTCTGTCCTAAACTGTAATAAGTACAAGGAAAGGTTCATGACTAAAACGGTGGGGTGACGTCCCCGCTCCTTCCCACAGAGCATGTCCAGCCGACAGGAGCACTCTGAGAACCCTGATCTGACATTTACGTGTGTGTCCTTTAAAAAAACATTTCATGAATCTTTATGCCAAATGCATGTTTCCTCAGGAGCCCAGGCCAGTGAATTCAAAGTAAAGCCATTTGTGTGAGAGATCACTTCAGCCCAGCTGTTCTCGGCACAGCATCCCACGGCCAGGACCCAGAGCAAAGGTCTGTGCACAGCTGCAGGCTGATGTCACTGTCTGGGCCGGGCCTGTTGTACTAACAGCAGGAAGCCACCCGCTCCCCCATCTCACCCCTTCTTCTCCTTTCCCTCCCCTCCCCTCTGTCCTCCCTTCACCTCGCTCACAGTGGCCAACAAAACTGAACACTATTTCAGCTTGTTAGGGTTTTTTTTAAACAGAGAAAGCCCCCCATCCAGTGGCTAATGTGAGAAGATTTTCATATATCCTATTTGATTTTTAAGGCTGATGCACTGTAATTATCCATTCGAACTGACGGTTGTTTGATTACAGGCGGATGTGTTCAGTTTGGCAGGTGCAGCATACTGTCAACTTCCACATAGAAGTTCTTCGAGTTTTTGGTTCTCTTAGGTGTTTCTGTCTCTGAAATGAGCATTCGGACGGGCCAGATCACATTATTACTTTGTTTTTTTTAATGTTGCTGATGTGTGAAGTTCCAAGTGAATTATTTCTCTGACCAGAAAACTATTTGATGCCTTGATTAACAGCTTGCAAAATATTTTTCTATTGCCTCCTTTCCTATAGAGTTCCCATACGGAGTTCACACAAGGAGGCTTGCGGCTCCATCATTTTATTTGTGTACTTTGGACAGTTAGTTAGTGGAAGCTAATGTATTTACTTGTTTGACTGACATTTGCCTTCTTGAATCATTTTTGTCTCCTTTGATAAATATTTAGAGCAATAAAAAGGAAAAGTGAGGAGGGTGTTCTCTAGCAACCAGCATAGCCATTATCTTTTGCTAAATTCTTTTAAAGAAAAAAATAACTTACAAAATTTAGTCCCAAAGGACTGAATTGTCATTGGTATCCCATTTGTTGGCCTCTAAAATCTGGCCTCCGTCTACCTTTTTGGGTCTTATCTTCAGCTTTTCTCCCTTTTGAATGTTGTAGTCTGCAAGACGCACTGCAGTCTCCCACCATTGCTCATGGTGGAATACGGTTTTTACCCAATGTCAGAATTGTATTTATATCACATGGTTCAATTTTTACATCTGCTGACCAAATTCAAACCACAGTGAGATACCACTTCACACCCATTAGGATGGCTATTATAACAAAAAGAAAAATTTTGGTGAGGATGTGGAGAAATTGGAACCCTTGCATACTGTTGGTGGGAATGTAAAATGATTCAGCCATTATGGAAAACAAGGTGGCGGTTTCTCAAATAATAATAGAATTACCATATGATCCAGCAGTTCCACTTCTAACTATATACCCAAAAGAATTGAAAGCAGGGACTTGAACAGGTATTTGTATACTCATGTTCATAGCAGTAGCATTCACAATAGCCAAAAGGTGGAAGCAACCCAGGTGTCCATCAGCAGATGAATGGGTAAACAAAATGTGGTATGTCCGATCCTTTAAGAAGGAAGGAAATTCTGACATGCTGCAACATGGATGAACCTTTAAGATATTGTGCTGAGTGAAATAAGCCAGTCACAAAAGGACAAATTCTATATGATTCCATTTATATAAGGTACTTAAGAGTAATCAAAGTCATAGAGACAGAAAGTAGAGTGGTGATTGCCAGTGGCCAAGGAGGGGGGGAAATGGGAGTTATTGTTTAATTAATAGGAAATTTCAGTTTGGGCAAAAAGTTCTGGAGATGGATGATGGTGATGGTTGCACCCCAGTCTGAATGTACTTAATGCCACAGAACTCTACACTTAAATGATTAAAATGATGTTTTATGTTATGTATATTTTATCACAATTTAAAAAAATTTTCTTTTTGATCTGCCGACCAGACCTTCCGTACCACCCTAGCCACATGTAACCTACCTTGAGTGCCATCCACTGGGTCCTTAGGTACTGCCCAGTATTGTTGCTTCTCACACATGCATGTCTTGTCGGCTAGACCATGGGCCCCCCAAGGAGAGGCTGCATCTTGTTTCTCACTAGTTCTGTCACAAGAGGCAGCTGGGTAGGGTGCGAGGAGCACAGACTTTGGGTGCAGACAGAATCAGAATACAAACCGTTTACTGCAATCCAGTCCTCCACCTCTTGCTTCACTGTGTGCCCATGGGCAAATTATTTGCCCTTTCAGTTGTTTTCCTCCTTTAATCCTTTAGTGATAAGGTTCTCACAGGACTTCTGTGAGCGTTGATGAGATGACATGCCAGTCGTTGAGATTCTGGGCCAGTCATCATATAGTAGTTCTATTTTTTGTCATTTCTATATGGCCCGTTTTACCTCTGATAGAATACTGATATGGGATGAGTGACTGGTATTTCTACTGCTAACTGGCCTAGTCCCAAGAAAACAAGTCTGTCATTGCCAGAAATTCGTCCCAGGAAAGAGCCCATTTCGTGTTACTTAGGTAGAATAACCATTGATCTAAACAGTCCTCTTCTCTGCCCTGAAACAGTCATTTTTCCTTCCACAACTCCAGAAATACATATGTATTTCTGGAATATTCCTTACCAAAAGCGAGGTAAGGATTAATTTAACCGACTTACCAGTACCGGTTTTATGTTAGTCCATGGTCACGCTGGGATGTTAAGAACGTGCCGCCTCCTGACAGACACATAGCGCCCCTCTGAGCCGTATTTAACATCAGTGTAGGAAGGCCGGAGAAGTCCAAAGTCAAGCTTCCTGGGAAATGAGAGGGGTCTTCCAGGATTTATTACAGTGTGTGCTAGGATGTATTGTGTGTGAGTTGTGCCCGGCTGATGAGTGGAGTAAGTTGCCGCTGGGATCCGAACCCGCGAACCTGGGCCGCGGAAGCGGATCGTGTTAGTGATTCTGTTTTTGGTAGCCGTGGTGAAGAGGTAGGATGCTCTGATTTTAAATTATGTCGATCAAATTACGTTGCCCTTTTAAAATGTTAACTTTTCGATGTATTCATATTATATTGTAGCTTTTAAAGTGTGTTTTTTCTAAAGTCTGTATGCTCTGGTGATTTGGGTTGAATATGTTCTAACATTTTGTTTTTATTACTGTATTTTTCGAAATAATGAGTTGAAATCATCTCAAATTAAGTACAAGCTTAAAATCCATTGGTTTCTTCTCTCTGATCTTCCCAGTTCCTTCTGTGTCTGAGCCTCTCCCTACTAGGGGGTGGTCCTTAGAGACGCCTCGGCCAATCAAAGCCTCCTGTCCTTATGGACCCTGCACTGATTGGTCACTTCTCTTGGGAGCCTGGCTCTTCTCAAGTATGTTTCTTGTGTCTTGCTAGACAGGTGTGGTTTTTTTTTTTTTTTTTTTGCTGCCAGAGACCATTTCCTCTTGTTCCTTGTTACTGTTCACTTCTACACCATTATGTTTGGAAATCTAGTCACGCAAGGGCAGAGTACTCTTGAGAGTACTGTGTTTATACTTCCAGAGTCATCACAGCTGTGTGTAAATGTTATGAATTTAGGACATCCAGCAGGTTAAATGTCATCTCCCCTTTTCATTTTCATGTCTCTTCAGTCACTGCTTCAACCACCTGTGAGAAATTAGAAAAAGCCAGGAACGAGTTGCAAATAGCTTATGAAGGATTTGTCCAGAAGCTAAACCAGCAGCACCAGACTGATCTCACAGAGCTGGAGAACCGGCTGAAAGAATTTTACACCGGGGAGTGTGAAAAGCTTCAGAACATTTACATTGAGGAAGCAGAGAAGTACCAAAGCCAGCTGCAAGAGCAGGTCTGTGCTTTTGGGAGCCGAGCATGGTCTTGGTCATGGCCACTTATTTGAAATCTAACTGCTGTTGGTGGTGAACTTCCTTCGATGAACTCCTCTTCGTTGAACATCCATTGATGAACTTCTTTTTGTTTTTTAGTTAAATAAGTGAAAAGATTTTTTTCTTAAGATAAAAGCAATGTACATAGGTTGAGCAAAAGAGGGGGAGAAAAAAAGTAAGAAAAGATAAAATTAGAAACAACCCTTTATCCTACTCCCTAGGAATAATCCCTTTGTGAGCATTCTGGCATTTTGTGGCTAAGCCATTGGTTTGCATTTCTTCTTTTTTAAAATAGCGCTTGTTTAATAACCCATATTTCTCACTTCATAGTATACCATAAGCCTCTCTTTAATTTTCTTGCTCCCTTTTAAAGTCAGTTTTTCATTCAGCAAATATTTACAGAGCACCTACTATATGCCAGGCACGTGCTAGGGACTGAGGATATGGAAGCCAAAGTGACAGGCGTGGAGCTTAAGTGGTCCTGTCCCCGTGGAACCTAATCCTCATTGCTCATGATGGACTCTGCCATTTCCATCCTCGAACCCTGGAGAACTTGTGTGTTTGGTTCCTGAGGGGAACGGAGTGGAGAATTGGGAGTGGCCAATCCACGCTGGGTCGTTCCTCACCTGTGTTAGGTAGCCCTTTAATGTGAATGCAAGCTCGTGTGTCAGGTCTCCTACTGTTGCTGCTTATTATTCAACTTGGGACTTTTGATTTTACTGGTAAACTATTGTTTTGTTTTCTTATAGTTTGACAACTTAAATGCTGCCCACGAAACCTCCAAGTTAGAAATTGAAGCTAGCCACTCGGAGAAAGTAGAATTACTGAAGAAGGCCTATGAGACTTCCCTTTCAGGCAAGAATGCTTTTTTTCTATTTAAATAGAAGAAGATCTAATGGAACAGCGTGAGATGTTTTAAAACGGAAATGATTCACGACTTTCTCCTCCAGAGAATAGCGTGTGGTATTCAGTTTCGAGGGTTTTTGGTTTCTTTTTTGCATTGTTCATAGTCAGCAGATGCCCTTTTCCCTAAGGATGGGAATAATTTGTTATAAATGCCAGGCTTTTAGGAAAGAAGATGAACTTTTAAAGAACTGAAAGGCCTTTTCGATACGAGTTGTCCTTTACCGCTTTAGGTCCTGGGAAGTTGAAGGCGTTAGTTTATATCCTGGCCACGGTAAAGGAGCCTCGCTAAGCACTCTTGCTCACGTGAACTCTTGCGCACCAACACTACCGTGACATGTAGGTGGCCCTTGTTGAATAGAGAAAGAATCTTTTATTTCATCGTGATTGGAAGAGTTGAAGGAAAAGAGGAAGAAGCCATTTCTTTCAGAACCTCATTGGCCATGTAGCTGAAGTTGTTACCCTAAACTCATTGCATTCTACAGAGAAGCCTGGGGACAGGGGGCGAGAACGGGGCCGTGTGACCTTTGGCAAAGGTCTTTCTCATCAGAAGAATAGAGTTGTTGTGTGAAGTCAGAGATGATAACATGTAAAAGTGACTGGCTCGGGGTAAACATTTAGTAAGCATTGTTTTCTTCCCTCCTGCTAGAAAGGGGTTTGATTTTAGACTTCTCTTTGGTTCATGAAGAGCAAATGAGAAAGAGCACAGGCACTCCAGACCTGGAGTCTGAAGGCCAGTGTTTGAGGCACCGCTCCTGGGAAGTACACTATGTGTTCCCTAAGGTCTCCTGGCCTCTCAGAGCCTCTGTGCTCTCAGTCATAAAATGGGACTATCTGCCCTACACACCTCAGAGGGCTAATGTGAGAAGAGATAGCTTAATTTATATAAGAGCATCATACAAGTATAGGGTAATGTAGTCGTATTGCTTTGTAATCAACTCTTACATCTGTGCTTTATCAACTCTAGAATACAATGATCTCATAGGATGTTATTGCCTCACAAAATATCACTTCTTTCCAGAAATCAAGAAAAGCCATGAAATGGAAAAGAAATCACTTGAGGATTTGCTTTATGAAAAGCAAGAATCATTAGAAGTAAGTCAATCTCAATAATCACTCCCGCCCCCCCCCCACCCCCCAAATCACCATCTTTGAGGTGTGTGTGGTTTTGGCACGTTTCTGTGTACATTTGCTATATTTCTGGTGTCTGCTTGTTAACTTACGTTCCACATTCCATTGTTTGTGTTTTAGAAACAAATCAATGATCTGAAGAGTGAAAATGATGCTTTAAATGAAAAGTTGAAATCAGAAGAAGAAAAAAGAATATCAAGAGAGAAAGCCAGTTTAGTAAGTTGTGTGTGCTCCTCCATCACTACTGAATTTTTCCTGTGCTCAGCTGCCTCTTAGAGTCAACAGAGTGTTCAGCAGCTGGAGAAATAATATGGGTTTGGAGTCCTTTTCATATCTTGCAGTGTGATTTTTAAAATATATAAAACGGCTTCTTTGTTTACTGGTGTCTTTTTTTTTTTTAATCCTAAAAACTGACATACAGATGAAGCCCAATTTATTGGGAGTGGTCTAAGCTAATACCTACAGGAAGACAAAAAACTATAAATTAGGGCCAAGGTTTTATGTGAAACTTCATTTTTTTTTAACTGACTGCTGGATTGAGATATAATCTACATACCACGATATTCACCCTTTTAAAATGTACAGTTCTGTGGTTCACAAGTCATACATTGGTCACCAGTATCTAATTCCAGAACATTTTTATCACCCCAAGAGGAAACCCTGTACCCATTAGCAGTCACTTTCTGCCCCCCCCCTCCCCGACTCCCCAGCCCTAAGAAACCACCAGTCCACTTTCTATCTCTAGGGATTTGCCTATTCTGGATGTTTTCATGGAAATGGAACCACGCTGTATGTGGTCTTTTGTGTCTGGCTTCTTTCACTTAGCTTATGTTCAAAAGTCGTGTATACTGTGGCATGTAAAGGTACTTCTTTCTTTTTAATGGCTGGGCAATATTTCATTGTATGGATAATCCTCACTTTTGAAAAGTACCAATTTCTCTTGTAAGTTCAACTTTCTCTTGGAGCTTTTATTGTTATTCCTCTGCCCTTTTGTGGGGGAGGTATTTTCTTGCTGCTTCTGTCTGTGGTCCTACCATTTTCATTCCATATATTTATGCCCTGACATTGCAGAAGCAAAGCTTTCTTGTCAGTTAAAATCTGTTGCCAGCTAACAAAGCGCAAGTGTCTGTCTCTCCGTGAGCTCTTTTGCTGATATTCTCATTGGGAGATCCTCTAGATATTTGAGTACAAGTAGATGAGATCATATTTAATGAAACTTCAAAGCTGTTTATTCTGGAAGATTCTTAGAAATAGTCAGTGATTTAAAAAAATCTAGACTTACATACAGGGTGTAAACCTTACTAATGGTTTGGGGAAGAGATTCTAAAGAGCTTCCTGGGACTACAGTGGTTTTGGGAAAACTAAGAAGGAAACAGAGTGAGAAAAGCAGGAATATCTTATTGCCTTACCCCTGTTGGAATGTGCCCAGATTGTGGAAGAAAGGCACACGAGAGTGAGGGAGAAAGGGACAGGCTGGCAGAGAAGCAGCATAAGGTGAAACAAGCCTGTAAATGTTCTAATTTTAAAATTCAACACAGTAAATTATGCTGTTTCCCTTTAACAAAGCAAGATAGGATTTGCCAGCTTTAGGGTTAAAAGAAAATCATATGTAAAGGGATGACAGTATGTGAAACTTAGGAAATTTGGGGAAGAGCCCTGGAGTTGAAGATGTGGGTGTCCCCTGCCCCAGCACCTTCCGGCTCTGGCACGTTCCCTGAGCAGACCTTTTGAGCTGTGGGACATGTTGCCTCCTTCTGTGAATGGAGGGGTTTGATTAAGTGATCCCCACGGGCCCGTTCCCCTGATTCTCCCCAAGGATCGGTCCAGAGCATTAACCACTGCCTAGGAGGACCGTTTTGATGATGTGCACCACTGATTCTTGTCTGCAAAATTCTCTCATTAAACATCTGATCAGCAGATCTTGTGCTATTAATTTGTATCATACATTTTGGATGGTTCAGTTGAATTTCCATAAATAAAGCAAGGAGTCGGGGCATCTACCTGGTGCTGTGCTCTAAGAGGATGTCTCCCCTTACGCAGTGTTTATTTTGGGAAGAATTTTAGTAGTGTATGTGCTATATGCCGTGTGGGTGTCGGGGTGTCACAAAATAAAATGATAGGGTGTTATGACTGCCCTAGAAGTATGGCCGACCAACATAGTCCCATCAGAATATAAATCTAAAAGACTCAGGACACTACTGTCATTTCTCTTGTTTCCCAGAGAGCCCTATAAATGTATCGCCTTTTCATTCCAGATCAGTTACTGATTTTGGTTAGAACTGTTGTTCCTTTTCTCCCTCCAAACACCAGTAAAGGACTCGCAATTGCTGAGTCTCTAGCTACGGTTCTGTTTTGTATTGTAAGCAGTGGTTTTTCTCTTACTTCCAAGAAAATATTTGGTGCTAGCAATATTTTTTCCATATTAAGTTACTGATGAATGAGTGAAATGTTTTCAAAGGTGAAATGTCTTATTTCATTGTTATAACCGAAGACTTTGAGGTTAACATTATCTTAACCCTTGTCACCTTTCTTTGAAATGCTGTAAGAAGGTGGAAGTCGCTTGCTCCCTGTTTGTCTAATTTCTAAATCTAAGCAAAGATTCTTTATATTAGAATTTGAACTATGAGATGGTGTTAAATGATCAGTCAATGCTACATCCTGCTGTGTCTTTTCCAGAAAAACCCTCAGATCATGTACCTGGAGCAAGAGCTGGAAAGCCTGAAAGCTGTGTTAGAGATCAAGAATGAGAAACTGCATCAACAGGACGTCAAGTTAATGAAAATGGAGAAACTGGTACATCTTTTCCAGAGCCTTACCAAATAGAATAATGTGTGTGAAATAGGACCTGGGCTCTGAACTAGAACTGCACCGTTGTTTTAACTGCCACTTAAAGATATTTGGAAATATGCAAAAGGGAAGAGAGGTTACATTTTCTTTTCTGTGTTTGCTCAAGGCTTATTTATTGCCACCTTCTGGAACATTCTTTTCAAGGAACATGTAAAGCAGCATTCAGTCCTTGGAAAAACCACAACAAACAAATCAGGCTCCCATTTCGGGGGCCTGTGACTCTTCACTGCATAAGAAGAATTTTGAGATAACGTAAAAGTAGTACTTTAATATATTGCCAACTCTGGGCCAGTTTCTTTGGCCCAGAACAGTTGGATGTGTCAATTAAGCACATTGGAGCAATTCAGTCTTGCTATCTAAATGCTTCATCTTGCTGCATGTCAATGAGAATGTGATAAAAGAATTATGCTTTGATAAAATTAATGCGGTTGGACAAATAGCAAGCATTATGAAAAAGAGGAATAGAGTTCAGTTTGTGGCCTCTAGGACAGAGACCTGATGTTGGCCTGTGAGTCTATCCAGAACTATGGGTTTGAGCGGCGTGTTCAGTGTGAGTCTTGACCCAGCCCTGGAACACAGCTGCTAGTAGCCAGGAGTCTCACCAAGTGGGCAGGGTCTGGCAAGGCAGCTTAGTTGACCCAAACCAGTGCTGTGCTTTGCTCTTGACTGTGCCAACGCCTCACGCTGCTCGCCTCTTCTCTCTCCAGTTACAAGTGACTCGTTGTTGAGTTAGTATGGTCAGTCGAACCAGCCCGGACTGACCACAGGAAGCATAGAGGTCGCTCTTCGTTTGCTTGCTTGGCATTTGGTTCCGTTGTCTATTAGAGACTCTTACCTCTCCACGGAGGAAGGGAAAGTCCAAAGCCCCATGTAGATATATGGGCACTGAATTACCAGGAAATCTTATTTTTTATAGGAAGGAAAGGAACTCGTGGTTTGTTAATAGCCCCAATCTGGTATATACACCTGTTCCTGCCAAGGGTCACCGTGTTATATCAGGTCTGATAACTCTGCTTAGTGGCAGTGAGTGAGGACTGAGATAATCCTATTAATAATTTGCTGCCCCATGTGCTATTCGTGCACCGAAACTTTTCAAACAATCATGTGCGATAAGAACAGGTTCTGCTGTAAAATGACTCTTACATTTTAATTTTTGTTGATGCTCAAGTGTTTGTCTCTTGCCCTGCCCAAGAGGCATCATGATATTAGCCAGCATTGCATTGTGTGTATGCAGAAGGATGGGTTGATATGATGAAAGGTAAACTACTGTTCCCTTATCTATTTGTAAGCTCCAGGCCTTTGTAAATAATAAGACACTTAGAAAGCAAGGAGCCTTGCTCAGTATGAAAGCTTCAGTCTGAAAACCAGCTCTGCTGGTAATCAGCTGACATCACCAGGGCTGGTTTCCTCTCCTATAAAATGAGGAATTAGATGAGATAGTATTTTAAGGCCAGTCACTGCCCAGTCTCTTAATTCCAGATCTTCACACCTCATGTTTTATCTTGAATTCCTTGATCATTGCTGCAACTTCCAAGGTCCCCTTTCTCTTCCATGCTAGTCTCATTTTTTGAAAGTTATTTTATTTGATTAACTTGTCCTGAGCACTTTCTGGATAATAGGAGATGTTAAGAACAATAGGGGGGCTGCCCTGTGGCCGGGTGGTTAAGTTCGTGCGCTCTGCTTCTGTGGCCCAGGGTTTCGCCGGCTGGGATCCTGGGCGCGGATGTGGCACCACTCATCAGGCCATGCTGAGGTGGCGTCCCACATGCCACAACTAGAAAAACCCACAACTAAAAATACACAACTATGTACTGGGGGACTTTGGGTAGAAAAAGGAAAAAAAAAAAAAAGAACAGTAGGACTTCAAACTAAAAGCCATAGTCACAGGAGATCAGTCCCGGCTGCAAGGACAGGGACTTAGAGTTAATTCTGACAGAGCTGTGATGCAGCCTCCTAAGCAAGCCATCAAATCTGAGCCTTAGAAAACAAGCTGTGACGTCATCAGCCCTCCATCACGTTAAGTGATTAAATGTCTTCTGGGATTTTGTCCTCTAATCTCGCAACTGATCAATTTGTTTTCCTTGAAAGTTTAGCCTGGGCAGGCCAGCAGGAGAACAAACATATCTTCGGGTGAACTGAGGCGGGAGCTTTCTATACTGTCGCTCCTCTCATCCGATGCTCTACAGAGCTTTGTGAACGGCTGCTTTGAGTGGCCACTCAGAGGCCAATGCTGAGAGTAACTGGAAACCATATTTAAGACCATATTAATCATTGCCAAGAACTGTGAACTGTTGGCCTATGAGTTTTCATCAAACGTGGGAATTTTTTTTTTTTTTTTGTGCAAAATTTTCCATAAGAAGCTGTAGTGCCCTTGATAAAGGCAGGCTGTCTGGCTGCTGTTTTTGTTTTCCACCTTGAAACTGAAAGAGGTACAGCCCCCAGGGCTGCAGAGGGCAGGGCGGCAATTCTCAGTGGGGATTCTAAAACGGTGTGACCTGGAACAAATTAGTTACCTCCTGGGTGTGTCACTTTTCAAGCAGCCCGGCATTCACTTTTTAAAAAATAACATCCAGATGCTCTATTTGGCTGCTTCCGATTCTTTTTGCAGGGAGTCAGTGTCCATGAATCTCAACATACTATTAAACTTTCCTTAATTCAGTCTCTCCAAAGTGTGCTTGTGCCATAAATGTGCCTTAGGAAATGACGGACTTTATTTTTAATGCATAAATGTTGGCGTTCTTGTGTACACCAAGGTGGACAACAACACAGCCCTGCTTGACAAACTGAAGCGATTCCAGCAGGAGAATGAGGAATTAAAAGCTCGGATGGACAAGCACATGGCAATTTCAAGGTAAAAATAAAGCGGACCTGTTTTTCCCAGGCTCCTCCCTTCCTCGAACTTCGAGTGTTACTTTCTTACCACACTCCACCCCTGTACCTCCTGGAGACACGATTGCAGTGGGGGGTTAAAGAGGTATTATTTCTATCTGGAAAATATGATGGTAGCGCTTCATGCTTTTACCATACTGGCCAGGACCAAATGCTAAGACTTAAGCGGGCTAGCCTTCCCCCCCGGGGCCCCTGGCTTGTTGACACCAGGAACAGTTTCGGTGAAGGAGCATCACATGACCCATAGGCAACAGGCCCAAACATAAGAGAGTCATAGGACATGCAGAATATTTGTGGGAGTGGCACTCAGCCTACCATGAAATTGCCCCCTAAAGTGCAGCTTTTTCTTTGGCTCAAACTCACATTTCCAGGAGCTGTCAGCCAGCCAACAACCCGTGCCCAGGAGCTCTGCAGAACTCCTTTATTCCAAAGGGATCGTTTTTTTGGACTCTCAAATATAAAATGGCAAGGAAAGTTTTTCAAGTTATTTATTTATTTGTAACTCAGATCCACATGGTTTCTGGCTCTTTTTTGTCTTGAAGGCAACTATCCACTGAGCAGGCCGTCTTGCAGGAGTCGCTGGAGAAGGAGTCGAAAGTCAACAAGCGACTCTCCATGGAGAACGAGGAGCTGCTGTGGAAGCTGCACAACGGGGACCTGTGCAGCCCCAAGAGGTCCCCCACGTCCTCCGCCATCCCTTTCCAGTCGCCCAGGAGTTCTGGCTCCTTCTCCAGCCCCAGCGTCTCACCCAGATGACGCTGTCGGAAAGCCGGGAGACTATCTGGAAGCATTTCTCCAGGTCTGCAGGTCTGCAGGGCTGACCCAACCATGACCATGGGAGCAAGAGCTACATTAGCTGCCGTGTAATCACCACCCTAGAACTAGAAAGTCGCCACCCCCAGAATGGGCTCCTCATGAGACTGGAACTCTGGAGGACGACGTGACTTGGTCCAAGAGACTCCTCCCCAGAAGATCTCGGAATTGGTCTACACGGACGCCGTTGCACAAAGCACTTAGAGAACGAGAACCTTGTTCATTGCCTTTTTCACCTAAGCATAAGGGGAAAAACTCTCAGGGGCCTATTAAGATAAAGATTTATAACCTTTATAATGTCCTTCACCACAGACACCTTCTTGTGACTTTTATTTTGGTCTGACTGGGGATGTGTGAATGAGATGGATGTAACAGAGTGTCATGTGTTTGATGCTGCCTCCTTTGCTGTGTATTCAGAGTCAAAAGCTGAACATATCTGGATATGTACCAATCAAACCATAGTCGGTGTATGCATTTCTGCAAAAGCCATAGAAGAGCGAGCAATACTTGCTGGAATTCTGGGTCTCTACCACCACCTCCGCTCAGCCCTTTGATATGGGGGGAGAGGGAATGGCAGGAAAAGCTTTGAGATGTCCATGTCTGTACATCCTCAGAATCCTTTTGGAGTATCTTGGTGGCAGTCTTTCAGTGTTCAGCCATGTCAGTTGAAACTGGCTAGGATTTTTTCTGTAGATTTTTAACTTACCCATGTGAACCTAACATTACACTATGATCTGTTTTCTCAGGCTATGAGCAAATGTAGAACTGTAATTTTTCTAGAAATCTGTATAAAGAAAAAGGGCAGTACCAATGGATTACTTCTGCCTTATGTTTACCTTGATCTAGGCTATCCTCACAGATTTAAACTGTCATCTTTCCCGTTATCTCGTCTCTTCCTTTTCCTTCTGCCCCCATCCAGAGCCACAAAAGCAAACCTTCTACCTCCTACCTACTTTTCTCTGGGACAAGGAAAAAGGAACATGCTTTTCCAGAGCCAGCTCATCTTCAAGGTACTGAATACCACCTACCAAGTAAACCAAGGCCTGGATCTGATATTACAAATTTTGGGAAACCCTAGAGAGAATAAAGAATGGGAGAGAGTCAGTGGCTAACAAAACTAAGATAGGATTCAGTGCTTATTAAAGAATAGGAGCACCTTGATTAAACCATAGATGCAGTATTTAATAGAACAAAACAGTCCGGTCAGATAATGCTAAGTTTCCACATACCCTTTGAGGAGTCTTTCTGTCCTGGGAAGGTGGCAAAATGGCCAACAAGTGGAAGATGTGGCTTGTACAACTCTCCTCCAAGTTGCATTTCGATTTCTTTTCAAAGCTTATTACCTCCCCCAATTCTGATACTTTGCGGGGAGGTGGAAGGAAGAGCTGTGGCTTTTTCTCCCTCTGCTTGCATATGCCAGCATCGCAGTGTCAGTATTTACTAACCTGCGTTGCTGACGTTCGACGGCTGTACAGATAACCCCTATGGTAAGAACAGATTCAGGACACTAGAGGTGGATATTTGAGTCATCACTTACATGTATACTTCATAGCAAATTGATATTCATGACGCATGTTTTTTTCAAATTAGTGATTGTGTCTGCAGTCTTTTACCTCCAATAGTTTATTATGTATGTAACCTTCCATGTTTGCTTCTGATAAATGGGAACATAAGTTCACTGCCCCTTCCTGGAATCTCTCTCTGCTCACCCTTCTAAGTTCTCAATGTTATTAGCCAAAGTTAGGTTTGCCATCCATCCCCTACGCATGGTATATCTTGTGCTGTTCCCTGCTGTCCTCCGTACCATTTAGGTGTCTGGGGAAATCAATCTGACACAATTAATAGAAAATGTCTTCAGAGAGTGGGAGACAACAGGAGAGAAAATAGGAAACAAAACTTTAAGATGTTTTTCAAACCAAATGTTTTATGTATGATGCAAAATGTTGGCACGTCATAAAAATATGGATGTGTAAACAACTGTAGTTGTGCTCAGTTTGTAGTGATGGAAAGTGTATTTTACTTTGATCAAATAAATAATGCTGGAATATTCAATATAAGAATTGCAACCGCTGACATACTTCACTCTTCAAGGTGTCGTCCAGTTGATAGCCCTTCCCACAGCACAGGAGTTGACATCATGTCTCCTCTTAAGCTATTTTCCAGGAATTTCCACTGCAACCACAAAAGTGGTCATGGGCTGATATTTGGCTCGCGGAGCTAGACTTAGAGCTAAGCTTTTCTAAATTGAAAGCCATGTGTATCTGAGAAATAAATTTTGACTGGTTTTAACAATTCTGCCGTATAAGGTAAGAAAATTGGAACAGCTATGGTCTAAATATTTTGAAGATGGCAAAGTCTAAACAGAGTTGAATCTTCCTTGATCTGTACATCTCTTTTATATTGAAAGTTAAACTTTTAGAAACACATGCTCTAGTTCTTATTGAATGGATTAATCTAGAATTAGTAATTTTGAATGCAGCAATTTAAAAAAGCAAGAATATGATTTTTTTCAATACTTTCATAAATCATATTAGCTTGAAAGTTGCTGCCAAGGAAAAAGTGACTTGTCTAGCATTCAAATCTTGAGTTGCTGCCATGAATAAGTAGTTGAACTGTATGTCACTGCATTTTTATATTCTCATTTTTGTGGTTATTATATCGAGTATTACATATTGACCCAAACATTGCTGCCAGCAAGTCCTTCTGGATGTACTTCAAGCCAACTTAAAATACAAGAGCACTTAGCCTGCTTATTTTTTACAAAAACTTGCTCATTTAATAGAAATGATTATATAAGGTTGTCTGCATATATGCTTTCTTAGTAGAAAAACTCGAAATGCATATATGTAGGTAAGAAATTGAAATACATGTTTTCTGTTAGAAGAGTTAACACGTCTATTATTAGACCAGATGACTTCCTTTTAGTTTGGATGTCTGGGTCTGACTCACAAAGCGAGGGTTGGGGTTTGGCACTTGACATCGGCCTCTGGCAAAGCACTAGTCAAAAGAACCCCAAAGCTGGTTGTGTACACAAATGGGCTTTCCATCAGTTCATTATACTCCATTTTCCAAGTCAGGAAAATTCAACAGTGGTAGCGACTGTGGTGTGTCCTCGGAGATTCTGGGCAGTGCAAATGTAATATCCTGCGTCAATGGTCTCAAAGTCTTCAACTGTCATGACGCTCTGGGAGATTCTTGTGGTGTGTGCGAGCCCTCTGTGGATCAGCCTCCAAGTGTCTTGGATCCTCACGGGCCTTTCATCCTGTTGAACGACACCCACAAGGACTGAAGCACCAACGACAAGCTGCTATAAACAGCTCCCATCCACCCAACGCTGTCCTGTGTGCCTTTCAAAGTGCAAAATACATGCTTACAGAAGACTATTTGGGATGCGTAGCTCATGGAGCTGTTACACTGTGTACCCATTTTAGGCTGCGTTTTTTTCCAAGCAGAGTCTTGAATTTCATTGTTCTGTTTGACTCTCTGTTTCTGCCTTTTTCTTCAGTTAAGGTTTTACTTAGTATAAGATTTATTCTTTTGGCACTGCAAGAATGTAGAACTGGTGTAAAACATGGATTAAAATTTTCCACTGCTCTTCACAAATGCCCACTTTCACCCCCTCGCTTACTGGTTCTTATTCACTGAGTTTAAATTCAAAAAGAAGCCTGAAGCTGTCACTGTGTAAACGAACAAGAGCTCTCGATTGTTCGGATTTGGGAGAGGAGAAGTGTGATTAGACAAGTGTGCCATAAACTCCAGGGGGAGAAAGCTGTACCAAGAATGGATAACATGATGCCCTAGATGACGTAACTCCCTATTTCTAGGAACTCAGATGGTCACTTTCACCAACTTTGGTGATAAGAACGTAATGTTTTCTACATTAGTTTAACGTAATTGAAATATTTACAGTACTAAATTAATACCCTTTTCTGCTCAAAATAATAATTAGCAACATAAGAGAAGAAAACCTGTAATGAAAATCATTAATGTCTTCTAAGTGTGACAATACTTTTTAAAAACAAGTACCCTAGCTCCAGGATGCTAGAAAATACCATTCTCCGGGGGGAGTTCTTTTCCACCAATCACAGCCCTTGAGCCAGAAGTGTACTGGCTACTAAGTATGTCTCGGGAGGCCAAATCTCTTCTGGCAACAAAGGGATTGTTCCATGTTGGTAGAGAAGCTGTTTATTTTAGTGAGCAGAACATGCAGAGGCTAACCAGGCTGGAGATGCTCTTTTGGGAAGTCTATTTTAAAATGATCTCTGGCCTCACAGCACCTTTTGACAGGCCTAGGCTAATATGCCCACTTGGTGGATGTCTGCCCAGAGCTCCTCGCCACAGGGCACAGCTTGTACAGAGGAGAACACGCTGAAGGATACCAGGAGGTTAGATTGCCCTCTAATCGACCCAGAATTAAGATTGAAGATTGAGGTTGGGGGTGGAGGAAGAGGGAACCCTCCCCCTTCCCTTGCATGCCCCTTCCCCTTCTTAAAGGGAAAAATGAGGAAAAACCACATATGAAGAGGGTACATTGAGTGAATTGCCTAATGGAAACCTGTCACCTTTTTCCTATCCTTTAAAAAAGCCATTTTTAAATAAACTGAAACATCTTAGAAGAAAACAAGCAAGCCCTGGCCCTTACCATAGTCCCCTGCATTTCTTGCCCTTCTTAAGTTATGACCAGTCTCACTGGGAGGTTGGCTGGGGGTGGAGGGCAAAACTGAATTAAAACGGCTGGCTTGAGACTAGGGTACTGCGCTTACCTTCTGTCCTGGGTAGATCCACCTGAATTCTACCTCAACATCAGGCTCCCCTAGGACAGTGCAGAGGACACTGATGTCATCCCCACCTTTTACTTTGTTTGAGGACGCCAAGATGGTTGTTGAGGGAGGGCCGCTGGGAACTGGAAGTAAGCAGAAGACAGGGCAAGTGAGATGAAATCCATGAGTACAACGTTGGTGACAAACCTACAGACACATTCTTTCCTTTGGACAGATATGTAACATTGCTGCCTTTCTTCCAGCTTCCCAGTGAGCACCAGGACTAGTCTATGCCACCACTTCTGGTTTTCTTGAAGCCTCCTCTTTCTACCTTGGTGGTCCAGAATGAGGTAGTTATCCAGAACTCCCCGGGTCTTGCCATTGTGGCTGCCATCAGAAGAAGAGGAAGTCAAAATCTCCTAAGGAGAAGATGTTCCCAGGCAGGGCAGGAGTGCCACCTACGTTTGTGGTCCCTTTACGTCACAGCAACTCAGATATAAATTTCCTCATTATCCTCAGTTCACTTAAGGAATTTTGTTGGCAGCCTTGAGCAAGGCAATGTGCTAGAAGGTGGGACGACAGCAGCAAGCAAGACAGACATGGCCTCTATTCTACAGGAGGCAGACACTAAGCAAGTGATCACATGGTTAAGTTAAAACTTGAGTAGAATTATGAAGGAGAGGCCCAGAGTGCTCCGGAAGTTCAGAATAGTCTGAGAAGCAGGAATGGCTTCCTTGGGAACGTGTGAACTAAAATCTGAAGGCTGAGTTTAACAGGCATGGAGGAAGAAGGTGTGGGGGGAGGGTGGGGCATGGGCAGACCGGAATCACAGTGTGCGAAGCCCCCACGGTGAGATGGAGGAAGGCCGGGACAGGCTGCAGGGCAGGGAGGAAGGCAGAGGCTGGTCACATAAGGCCTTTCAGGCCACACGGAACATAGGAACCTACTGAATGGTTTTCATTGGAATTATAATCAGCTACAGTGGGGAAGATGGAGAGAGAAAAGGTGGGCACAGAGGAGACCAATTGGAAAGGTGTTTGCATCAGTCCAAGGAGGGAACGACAGCGTCTTCAACTCTTTTTGTGGTGAGGATGGAGAGAAACAGCAGGATTTGAAAGAGATTTAACGGAAAAAGTCAAAAAGACCGAGAGGAGACGGGAGGGTCAGGTTGACTCCCAGTCTTGGGCCTGCACACCAGGTGGCTGCTTTGCCATCACAAAGCTGAAGAACCCGGTCCAGGAGGAGATCCTGAGTTCAGGGAAAGGCTAATGAAGCACCTAAGCACAGCTGTGAGGTAGGCAGTTGGATACATGAAGCTGGCACTCTCGGGTCTGGGCCACATATATTCACGTGGGGGCTATTAGCAGATAGGCAGTAGATCGTGGATATGGCGGAGGCGGCCCGGAGGAGAACAGGGAGTGAGAAGGAAGGGGTCTTGGGGAATGCCAACGTTTACCACCAGGAGAGGCAAAGAGATGGCAAAGCCCGTTTCTGGCAACAAATGAGAAAGTTGAAAGGAAAGCAGGGAAAGAATGGGGCCAGGGAAGGAGAGAAAGCTGAGCAGCATGTGGGAGGGAAGGAAATGGAGATGGGGAAGGAAAGAGCCCTTTCAAGGAGTTTGGCCTGGTGGGAAAGAGAGATGGTCTTAGCCAAGGGCTGGGGGTGGTCAAGGAGCATTGTGAGAGTTATTTGGGAACAGAGAGTTGGGGCCATGGCCTAGTCAATAAGCCCCATGGCTGAGAACAAGAGGCATTAAGAAACCCAAATTCTCCCCTCGGAGAGCAGCCAGCTCTTGGGGCCACTTGTCCCTCCACAGGGCTGCCCAAGCAGCACGAATGCAGTAGAACTCACTCTACCCACGTGTGGACCATTCACCCCGGGCCATGTAAGAGTTCTGGGAGGGAGAAGAGTCGTCACTGAGGGACTGGAGCGCATGAAGAAAAACTATTTCCTCTCCTCATGTGCAGGGGCGGGTGAGGGGGTGCTTTCCCTCCCGGAAGTCAGGAGAGGGAGGCTCAGGACAATCACTTGTCAAGGAAGGGGAGGTGACACGTTGCTTTGCAGCAGGAGATCTGCTTGATGGCTGTCCCTGTGCCACAGCCCAGGGCAGGAGAGCATGAGCATGGATGGCATGGGGGAGTGCCAAGAGGACAGGGCACCTGGGTTGTGTTCCTGCTGTAACGTTCTGGCTCCTACATGCTCCAGAGTCAGGGGACTGGAGGGACATGGAAATTTCAGGGCTACAGCCTTTCTGAGATGACAACGCGGCTCGGAGCAAAGAGGTGCACACGAACAGCAGAGGCCTTCAGCTGAGGGTCCGGAAGGAGGATGAGGCTGAATCTGAGCGGCCTATGGCACCACAGGCTGCTTAGGGGTGAGTTCCTTATCACTCATGGCAAGGTGTTGGAGCCACCAACTGTCCTCATGGGGTTCATAGACAAGCCAGGTCAGCATTTACTACAGGGGACAGCTGTCTCTGGGCTGCACCCTCTCCCATTCTCCCCTCAGGCCAGCACCAGAGCAAGAGGTGGGTAGGAAGGCCGTCTCCCTTACTAACACCGCCACCCCACCTCTCACCCCCAACTCCAAGCCACTAGAGTCACCAGTGTAGCTTGCATGCCAGTAGGGGGAGCAGGAGCAGACTTTGGGTCAAATGTGGGGTTAAAGATTCTAAATGAACAGTCTTAGAAACTGGATGAGACTCTCTTACTAACCCAAAGTGCCTGTTGGATGTGGAATTGGACCAAGATATCATCAATGGATCTCACTACCCTTAGGAAAGGGGGTTTCAATACAGCAGAATTAATGGAAGTTACTGGAGAGAAAAGTATTTCATGTATGAACCTACTGAATTGAAACTCCTCACTACAATGGTCATGTTAAAAATATGTTCAGTGGAGAGATTTGGGCATATTTCAGTTGTATCAAGAAGTGGGGAGTGAGGCCAACTGGAAGGGAATGAATTTACCCACGTGTGGGATTTTTCAAGCAGCCCTCAGCATGGAGAAAGGATATAGTTATGTTCATCCAGGATGATGTTTTCTTGGACAGGTAGGAGGAGAGTACAAAGAGGCAAGGAGTTCAGGGCATTGACAAAGAGCATTGAGGTGATGAGCCCTGGAATCCAAGCTGGGGTAGCGGGGCAGGAGAGCACTGGGGAATGTAGGGAGTAGAGGGTAGAGGTGAGGACCAATGTGGAAGGAGTTGCCAAACACCGAACAAACAAACAATTTGGGATGGTATGAGGCTATGGTTGGAGTTGGAGGTCTGACTCAGTGATTCGTAAGTCAGAGCAGTTGCAGTTGTGGACCTGTTAAAATAGTGACCAAGGCAGGGGTGTCTGCCGTGAAGGGGATGAGGCAGTCAGTGAACCAAGCCAATGGGTTCTGAGTAGATGACACCCAGAAAATGGAGCGGCAAGGAGGCCAGTGAGCCAAAGAGAGTTGTGACAGGAAAGGAGATGAGAAAGCTCGTGTAGCCATGAGCCATGAGTCTCAGAGGAGCAGAGGTTCCTAACAGAGGGTGAGAGAATGAAGGTTGGGAAGTGGGACTGGGCGCAAGAAGGACACTGACCCCACTGACAGCATGGTGCCCTTAGGAGACAGCAGATTTTGGTTAAAAGAGAGAGGATGTTCTCATCTGAGCAGATGTTCTAAGAAGAGGTTGGAGAGATGGGAGAATTGCTCATCAATCATACAGAGGTAGTACCAGAGTTAATGTTTTACAGATTTGAAGAGAAGGGAGTCAAGGGGTGTTGGGTCGGGATTCCAGTCCAGGAGATGGAGCATTCTAGAAATGAGGTGCAGAGAAGAGCCTTTAAGAACAGCATTCTGTGCCTCATAACGTCCATCCACAATTGAGAACAGCAGTACCTGATACTGACCAGCTGGTATAACTAAGCTCTAGGCGCCAGTAGGAGCAGGCTTACCTTCTACGTAGAGCAGTTGGTACTTGACAGAGATCTGAGACTTGCCTCCAGCCTCCGCCTTGCAGTAGACCACCCCCTGGTGGTCAGAATGAGGATGCAGATACACAAAACCTCTCTTCATGTCATAAACAATGTCCGTTCCATTGGCTGGGATTTCTTTGGCTGGGAACTCCCTGTGGAGGGTGACTTTGGCTGACAAGACCGTCACTCGACAAGGAACCACAGCCTGTCTGTCCGGGTTCAAGTAGACAACATCAAAGTAACTGGGAGAAGGTACAAAGAGTTCTCCTTTCTCTGCAAAAGGAAAGACACAGGCTTATTTATTCTGGAGAAACAAGGTGAGCACACTTTAAGGATTCTTACACTCAGAGCACAAAGATGGGAGGGGACTGGCGATATACTCAGAATACTGAGTCCTTGTGAATAGAAAAAGCTATTTTTTTAATGCTTTTCCTTTTCTGGAAGAAAGATTTTACTTCCTATCTCCTTAAAGGTAACAAAAAAAGTATTAGTTTAAGCCCAAATCAGGCCCATGGATTACCCCACTGAGGAAGCAGGCAAGGGGACTGATTTCCTTATGTTAAGAGCAGTTTTAAGATCTGTGAACAATCTGCTGTGTCTCTGGAGAATTAGCCCCATAGCCATGCCCAGTAATGTCCCACGGGGAGGGGTTTCCCAGCATACAGAGCTCCTCTGAGAGGCCCCGCCCAGTGAGGGCACCGGCATCTTCACCCTGTCCTCACAGCCCAGGGGACCTCATTCCTGCCAACGTCAAGGAAAGGCAATCAAGGAGGGACAGATGAGGAACCCGCTGGCCTCAAGTTCTGAGCTTGACTTGGCCACCACCGGCCTGGGGACCTTCAGTCAGTTTCTTATATGCCTCCTGGGTTCACTCTCCCTGTTCTCTTAAGCTCTAGATGATGGCATTTGATATTACAGAAATGAGGTTTATCCATCCTTTCCTTAGGACAGCCAAGGAAATCTGGGTTGGAATTTTTGGTTTGTTTTTGGCACGGCACATTGAATCCTTAGTTTTCTGGATCATTCTGTGAAGGAATATTATAGTAATTGCTAAGAGAAATCTTTGAACGTAATCACCCTCTAACATTTGTTAAATTGTTTCCCATGTTTTTCCTGCAAGGTTCTGGAAATGAATAATTATTCTTGGCTTTTTCCTTCACTAGCCTTCTTTGTTCCACATTCATATGGTGTTTTAGGGTGGGGACGGAATTCCTAGACACAACATCAAAAGTCTTCATGGCCCACAGTTCTATGACCAAGTTTGCTGACATGGAGGTCTTTGCCCCGGCTCTGCATGAGATCAAGAAAGGGTATGTCATGGCTCAGTGAGCCTCCATCATTTGCAAGGTTTTGTATCAGGCCAAGTGATTAGTGCCGCTTCATGATAAATTGACTTTCAGGTTTAGGCAAGAGGCACCTTTGTCAATGTCGCACCTAACACCAATGTGTTCACACAGAGAAAGTCCGTATGGCCTTGGATGTGTCACTTAATCTCTCTGTGCTTCAACATCTTCATTTGCAAAGAGAAGAATCTGGAGTAGTAAAGGCATCTTTTTAGCAAAAACTTTTAAGGAATTTCTGATTGTAAGATTTAGAAGCAAATTCTGTTTTAAGGTTTTGTAGAGGAATCTGAACCAATGAGCAAAGCCAGTAGAACAAGTGAACGATCTGATTTCAGAACACAAAAATGTGGTCTTCTGGTACCATCAGACATGCTTTGAACGAAGTGACCACACAGTTGCTTTAACAAACAGCAAAAATATATTTGCAATCAGTAGATTCCATCTACCAAAAAAAAGGCATTGAAGTTCATTTAAAAAACTGTAGATGAGATATGCCCCCTGCAAATATGTTTGTATTTATTCCAGTAGATGACAAACATTACCTTAAGAAAACACGGAAATTTAGATTTCCAAAGAATAATAAAGTTAATAGGCTATCAACTAAAATCCAAATTATAACAAATTCCATATTTAGCAAAGTGCTGGTTAATGTGGTTTTACTAATGTAAGAATTGGAGCCCAAGTCTTTTGCTATGAGAAAGCCCCACTGCTGGTAATTTCTCCTCCCTGACCTGGGTGGTAACTACATGTGTATGTTCACTTGAGGATAATTTATTGAGCTGTAGAGTTATCATTTGTGTATTTTTCTTTGTATATGTTATACTTCAATAAAAAGTTAGAGAGGAAAAGAAAACCCTTTGAGAACCTCCTGGATGAAGATTAAACATAACATATAACAGTTGCTTAACCAAAAATTGCACGAATTAACAACAGGCAAAAAGAAGCTTCACAGTGTTTGCAATCAAACTCCAGGAAACACACAAACATAATGAATACCAGACGTTTCTCTGTGTGGGTAGTGGGAAAGCATATGTCTGAAAAATCCAGAGCCAGCAGGGCGAAGCTCAGCCTCCCTAACAGCTCATCTGGGTTTTGCAAACCCGCCCATGCTTAAAAAGACAAATTGCTAAGTACTGTACTGAAAATCCAAATGGACTCTTAACCTAGTGTTGAGAAATGAGAAAATGATACAACAACACATTAGGTCACCTCCCTTTTTGATCCAGGTTTCTTGAGAGTTGAAATAAATATTTATTTTTAAGCCTTCCTTTGTTTCACAAAAGGGTTTCCATAAATTAAGAAAGAGGACTGGCCTCCAAAACTCAAAAAGAACCCATAACCCTAATGGGACATTCTACTAAGGGAGGTCTTCAATTTAAAATCTCAGTTCAAAAACCAATACTTTGGGAAGACACAACAGTGCTAATCTTGGCAAAGAATCTTTATTCTGCAATTTGACATATGATATCAGCCCTTTTCCAGAATAACAGGCTCTTATTAGTCTTAATCAAATGTCTTTTCCACTGTTGCTTCCCAGTGTGGTATAATACTAAGGACACATGGCAGTTCTGTGTAGCACATTCCAGAATGAGGATCAGAAAGGATTACCTATGAACAACTGTTAGCAATTCTCCTGACAACAACAGTTATGCTAGCTAGTGTCTGTCTGCCTGTCTATCAATCTAGCCTCACTTTGTCCTAGAAATGGGTTAGGGCCGTAAGAACATTGGATCCTGGGTCAGAAAGACTGGGGTTGACTCTTTACTCTGCCACGACAAGTCATGGGACATTGAATGAGTCGCTTTGCCTCTTTGCGTTTCAGTAGCAGCGTTATTAGTTCTCGAATAGAGATAATAAAGTAGCTTCTCCTTATTTCCAAGGGTGTTGTGGAAATCAAGTGACACATATGGGCTTCCAGAATTGTCGAGTGCTCTGCTAATGCACTGCTTGCCAGAGAAGAGCCATTTGAGCAGGAAGGCAAAATACATGAGATTTTGTCAAAGCATTCATTAAGGGCCAGTGCATAAGATCATCTGAGTCATAGCCCTGTCACTGTAGGTCTGAAAGGTAGATGGATTCAGAACGTAGACAAATGGCAGGAAAGCCCCTGTGTAGACACTACTGGGCACTAAGAAAGCATTCTGGCTTCACCTGAAATGCCTTGGACAACCGCAGCATCAGGGGGTGGCATTCGTAAGATTCCTGAAAGCTGTTCCTGACCTCTGAACCTTGTTGTCGAATCGTCCCCTCTAACTTGAGAGTTTAGAGAGCTCAGCAGAGAAAGGAGGCTGGCAAGCTGCAAATACATACCTAGCCCTACAGGGGAAGAGAAGAATTCTCCACTCTGACCTGCACATTTTCAGGTGCAGAAGCCACAGGGCCACAGCTTTTGGGAATCCTGCCCCCAAGACTTCAGCTCATAATACTCATAAGAACAAAAGCGAGGAAGCCTTTAGCCAGGCATCCTGTGACTACGGAGGTTCCAGAAAGGCGATCGTCACCGGTTCTGAGAGCATAGTGAGTAAAAGTCTATACAAGGCTGTCCAATAGAGCTTTCTGCGAGGATGGAGATATTCTCTGCCTGGACCATCCCATAGGATCGCCACTAGCCACATTCAGCCATGGAACACTTGAAACGTGGCAAATGCCACTGAGAAACTGTTTTTAATTTTGATTAATTTTAATTAATTCCCATTTAAATTGAAATGGTCACACATATCAAGTGGCTACCACATTGGACAATGCAGGTACAGACTCTGGAATCAAACAGTCCTGAGTTCACATGCTGCTCCAGCCACTTACTTACAGTGTGACCTTAAGGACGTATTTAGTCTCTCTAAACCTCAACTTTCCCATTGGAAAAGATGGAAATGATATTCATACTTATCCTGGAGGGTTGTTATGATACTTACATGAAATAATTGCTGCAAAGCTTTGAGCCCAGAGCCTGGCCAACAGCGAGTGCTCTGACTGTCATCATTTGATATTCAGCACCCAGTGAGAACATTTCATTCTGGGCCAAATCCAGAAGTTGGAAGAGTTCCACTGATACACCAAACATTTTACCTGTAAAAAAGATGTAGGTGGAGCCCGTTTTGGCCTCGTCCCTCCTGCAGATGTAGCCATTGCAGAGCTGCCCCCAGCAGCTGAACTCGCCCGTGTCGGCCGCGGTGGAGTTGACCAGGGTCAGCTGGCCATAGCGCTCCTGCTGCTTCACACTGTCAACACAAGCAGAGCCGGATCTCAGCTGGGCCAGGGCCTGGCAGCCATCACTCCTGCTCCACTGCTGTCACATATAACCCCCCACCGTGGCCCGGGGCAGAGTGCCCTCTCTCCGATGCCACAAACTAATAAGAGTGTATTTGGGGACAAAGTGTATGAGTGTGGCAGGGGATGGAGGCAGAGAGAAAAGCCTTTCCTAAGAGGGAATAATACCTGACAATTCTGTTTTCCAAAGAGAGGAAATTCTCTTTGACCTCAGAACTGGGGTTTCCTTAAGTAAAATCACTGGTGCGTGGGCCATGCAGCCACGGAAACTCAGCCAAAAAGCCTTGGGCAGGGATTTTCCCAGCAGCTTTCATGTCTAATGAGTTTTAAACAGCAGTCAGCAGGAAGGAAAGCACACAGCATTCTCCAGGACGCAAAATTTCTTTGATCGATAATGACAAGTCTCTGAATACAAGCTTGGATTCTCTGAGATGCTACATTATGATATCAAAAAGGAAAACTTTCCTTTAGGGAAAAAAATGCATTGATTGTTCAGCCCCACTTCCGGTAAGGTACTTAGAGCTTTTGGGAATTTGAACCTCTCTAGCCTTATGCTGTTATTTCTACTTTATTTTCTCGTTTTTTTATCTCTTGTATTTTTATCTTATTGCCTGTGAATATATTTGCAAATCCCTTCAGTTCCTTTTTGAAGTAAGGAGAGACATAAATTAATATTTATTATTATGAAACTCTCCTATTAGCCCATTGTGCTGGTAATTAATTGTATTCTATTATGACAGGAATGCAGATTTATCATCATCGGGACGGATGCTCCCCTATGGCTTACGAGCCTCAGCGTGTGCGGATGCCAAAAAAAATGGTTTTATTCTGAGGATGCATCTCAGATACCCAAATGTTTCACCGCTGTGAGATCCACATTCTTTTCTGATGTAGTCCAGACTCTCCTGTGGCATGTTACAGCAACATCTAGACGGTCGCTGCTTTAAATTTAGCACCCAGCAAAATGTCGGGTTGGTTGGTTTTAAACACAGCCTGTTCTGGTTCACCGCTGAATAGCTGCTTTGCCCGCCAGTTCTGCCAAGAGGTGCCTCTGTACTCCCACTCTGTCAACTGCCTCCTTTCAACTGAACGGAAATCTCTCCTCCTTCAGGAAGCTTCTAATTAGAAACTCTCTCAGGAATCTCCCTGCTTTCCCCTAGTGACATGATTGGCTCCCTCGTTCTCAACCCCTAGGACACCCCTGGCTTCCTGTTATTACAATAGATGGTAAAAACTTGAAGGGGAGGGACTGGCCATATTTGTTTTATATTCCCTAAGCAAGAAATCTGTGCAGAGTACACAGTAAGGATTCCCTAGAAACGAGTGGACTGAAATTGAACTAACGCACAGCATTGGAACTGGAAAGAACCTTGGAAAGCAGGCATCCAGCTTCCAGGATTACACATGAGGAAACTGAGTCTCAGACAGCAGAAGGCACCTGAGACCCGCAGCTGGTGGACAACTGAACAAGCCTTCCTTAAGTCAATTAAATATGTACTGAATACCCACTCATTAGAGAAGAAAATGCATAAAAGCACTTCATGCCATGTCCGGTTCATTGTATTATCCTAATTATATCTTCATCACATATAATTGCAGTTTAATAGTAGTTGTGAATCCTACTACAACAATGACAAATAACACACACCCAACATTGGGGAGAGTTAGCATGGAAAATAAAAACCAGTGAACCGCAGGATATTACAATCCAGTTAAGAAGTTAAAACTAATATACACGAAAAGATCAGAGAATAACTAACGGGGTCCTCACTACAAGAACAATAGGAATTCTGAAAAGGGATTCATCACTGTGGGTTGAAGAGATCAAAGGCAGCTTTAAGGAGGAGGTGAGATCAGCTGGTCTTTTAAAGTCGGAGGTGAAGGGACAGGGCCAGCAAGAGGGCTAAGAGGCAGTGAGCTCCTAGTCCAGGAAACTACAAGGGCGGGGAGGGATCTGTTCTGCTCATTTCACTGCCGTGGCCCCAGTGTGTGGTGGGTGGAATGCACTTGATAATGACTCTAGGATTTAATTCATCAATTACAGAGGGAGACAGAGGGAGTGGGTTGGGAGTCACGGGGTTGAGAACAGCCAGCAGGGTGCATGTCTCACTCACCAGGCAGCAGGGACCACCCTCAGTTCTGGAGGTGGGGGGTGATGGGTCCACCTTGACCAGGGCATAAGTCAAGAGAACAGGAGTGGGAGAGGCAGGAGGAAGCAGGGGAGGCTGAGAGGTTGTCACTGAGATCAACAGCTGGTGCTAGGGCTGGGCTGGGGGTTGGCAGTGGAATGGAAGCAAACTCAGGGAATGTTTTCTTGGGGAAAATTTATGACAGACTGGGTATAAGAAGTGGAAGAAAGAGAGACATCAATAATGACCACTCAACTTGTATTTCCATGTGTCAAAAAGAATGAGATTTTAACGGACTGAAATGGAATCATTGCAAAGAGAAAGGAGAGTGGGGTAGGCAATATGGTAGATTCGCTATTGGAGATTTTGAATTTGTGATGACATGTGCGTCATTTAAGGGTGGACATCCTATGGGCAGTCGGAAATATAGGCCTGGCACAGAGGAGATACAACAACACCAGTCTGGTATTTGGGGGAGTTGTCTAAAAAGGGCTGAGAGTAGAAGCTAAAGGAATAAATAAACTCGACAAGAAAGAAAAGGTTGAGAACAAAATCTAGAGCCAAACTAGGGACAAGCAGGAACAGAAGAGGTGACAGAAGAGAGAAGAATCAGGAAAGGAAATCATCAAGGAGAAAGTTTCAAGAAACTGATGCTTGAAAGCATAAGATGCCTTTAATAGAGATTCATAACAACAAACACACATGCATTTGGCAGAATGAAAGTCTTCGGCAACCACACAAAGGGGTTGTGAGAATGGAGCTGGATTTCAGCAGATAAAAGACAGAAAAGTGGAGTAAGAATGGAGGTGGAGGTCTTCCCAGGTGGACCATAATATCTGGCCACATTCCCCGTAGAGCTCGGAACCAGGGCACAAAATCTGTAAGTAATCCATACACATCTCAAGCACCTTCTGTGGGCCCAGCATTTGCTAGCACTGTGGTGAGAGAAAGTATAAGATGCCATTCCTACCAGGAAAGTAATTGGGCACATAAAAATTTAGCTCTTGGGAATAACCCTACCACCACCATGAAATCTGCATGCTGTATCTTTAGCAGGATTGGGGGTGGAAGGAAGGAAATGCCCTGGAAAACATTTCTGGATTTTTCCACCCCCTCTTATGTGCAAACAATATAAAACAGGAAACAAATTATTTAGCAGGATTACAGTTTAAATACCTGGATTTAAAATGTCCATTTCTACTCATGGTCTCACATAGTCCAGGTGGCGGGCTATGGAATATGACCTCAGGCCTCTAGAGGAAGAGTGTGTGCCATGGAACAGAGACAAGGATTCACCGAGCCCTGCAGAGCGCTGTACAGAGACGCTTCCCCTAAAGATCCCCCCTTCTCTTGTAGCCACTTAACAAATCAGGGATGGAAGAAGTGGAGGATGTGAAATTTGAATGGAGCAAAAGGAGGTGCTGCAACAAAGTGCCAAAAAAAGTATAATTAAGATAAGCAGAATTTACATTAATTGGAGGCAGCTCTCCACATCCCAGCATATCAGTTCACCTTGGGTCTTTTTCTTTCAAACTCACACTTCCAGACCTGACCTACAGTGAGCTCAGTGATAGACCAGTCCAGGTTTCAAAGAGTGTTTGTTCAAATTTAGGATTCTGTGTGTGTGTGTGTGTGAATGCACACGTGTGTATGTATCTCTTCCAATGGACTCCCATGGTCTTTATAAACACAGAGTCTGTTCCCATCAGTGGAGGCCTGAAGCTTCCTGCATGTAGCCCAGCCTCCTCTCTTCTAGAGGGGGCCTATATCATGGGATGGCACAGAGGAGGGGGCTGACAGCTCCCAAAGTGGGAGACCACTGTGCATCTCACATAGGGCAGTGAGCAGCTGACAATGGTGGGGGTCCATGCTCCATCCTTCACCCAGACTCTACAAGCCAAGGGCAGGAGGTAAGCCCTTGATTACAAGCTAATTAGACATTGGTCCCATAAATACTTCATGAGTGCGAATTAAGTGGGAGGTTCTGGAGCAGAGAGGGAGGGACATAATGATATCTAAAGAGTTCCCTGCTCTTGAGTTCCCCTATGCAAAGTGCCATGGGAATTCCAACAAGGGTGACCAGAAAAAGCTTCAGGGCTGAGAATCTTGGGAGAAGGGAAGAATTTCAACATTCACAAAGAGGACACATGATTCCAAGGGAAGGAGAGCCCCTGAAAGGAGACAGAAGGCAGGCTCAGTGCATAACTCACAAATGTTTGACTGGAGCACAGATGAGCAGAGAACTGTGGTGACCAGCAGAGGTCATGTGAGATGTAAGATCATGGACTTTGGAGCCATGCTGATGGGATTCAAATCCTAGGTCCACCATGACCTTCAGACTCCTTAGTTAGAGCCACACCTTCCACAGTATGGCTATACCTACCTCTTCAGACTTGTAGTAACAACAACAATAGTGGCTAACACTTATGGAGTGCTGGGCATGCCACTAAAATTCTTCAAATAAGTTCAAAGACTTGGAATAGTCCTGGCACAGAGTAAGCGCTCCACACATTTTGGATATTGTTATTAGGATGGTCCTCCTCAGGTCTCACAACCACATCAGGATGGAGGGACTGTTTTTCGTCTTTTACTGATGAGGACACTAAAGTCAGAGAAGGACCTTGTCCAAGGTCTCCCAACTGTGAGCGGTAGAGCTTCTAATCCGGTGTCACACAGACTCCGGTTACAAACGTTTGTAACTGAAAAGGGCATGGATTTCCAGCCTACCAAAATGAGATGAACTGAAGGAATTTTGACTGACAGGTGATGGATGCCTCGAACTAGCTTGCAAATCCTGTTAAATAAGGTCACACACACACACACACACACACACACACACACACACACTCCCCAAACAAAAACATGGAAGATCTGATTAAATTAGCTCAGTGTTATTCACGATAACCCAATTTCTATTTTAATGGGCAGTTAACCATTCAGTAAGTAATTGAAGGTGAAAAGGACAGAAAAACTACTAGTTATTAAGCTTCTACTATATAACTGACTGTACTCGAGGTACACATTATTTTCTCCCAATCCCATGAGATGATGATGATGAAAAACTACCAATAATAACTAAAACTTTAGTGCTTAATCTGTATTAAGCACTGTTTTAAGCCCTTTACGTATTTTGACTGATTTCATCCTCACAACAGCCCTGTGAGGTAGGGGTTGTTATCCCCATGTTGTAGGGGAGCGAACTGAGGTTAGATAAGTTTCCAACTAAGTGTTGGAGACACAGGAGAAGAAGTGGAAGGTCAGTTTAAAAGACTCTCCCAGGGCCACTCAACTATGTGATTCAGATACTCTGCCTTGCAGACTCACTGATGCCTCCATTGGCATAAAACAGAAATATAAGGAGTAAGGTAAAAAGATGTAATCGAATACCCTCCTTATTCAACATTCATTACACATTCACAAATTAATTATTTAGCTTCCACCACATACAAGGAACTGTGTCAAGCATCAGGGGAGACTAAGATTCGTGCATATTTGCTCATCCTGTTTCAAGTGTTTGTACAAGATCTGTATTTACTCTAAGCCTTCTTTTAAGAATGTGTCAGAAAATAACTGTTCCATGATATGCTGGGAATGGAGCCATATCAACAGAGTACAAATCTTGGGAAACAGACAGCTGGGTAAGATGTATCAAAGCTCCACAGTTTAGGATGAAAAAAACAGAGACAGTGATGAAAAGAAATATGTATGAGGAATCAGTAGAGATGCAAATATACAAACCGAGTTACTTCAAATGAAAATAATTCCAAGATCAGAAATTAAGCTGAAATATCCCTATGTGTCTGTCTGTCTTTCTATATATCTATCAATCTCCATTCTTGAGTACTATTCAAAGACTCAAACTCAACTCAAAACACTTGTAATACAACTACAATATTTCTATCCCAACAAGAGTTTGTTAATGTATGTGAAATGTGACTCAGGTCTTTTCTACTGTAATGACTTATGCCTGATTCTTCTGTACTATTTAAAAAATAGTCATAATAGGTATTTCTCAACTCTGTCACAAGAGATCACATATGTGATGTCCCTCTAGTCCCACCAACATCTCTTTAATTTCTCCAGGTTCTTTCTTTGACACTGACCACAGATTCTGACCTCGGTACTGGAATGTCCCCCCTCTCTCCTCATTCCAGCTCTTCCAGCCTGCTAATGTCATCCCTTCTTTTTGCCTCTCTTGCCAACCCACCTGGCTTCTTTACAAAGGAAAAGTCCCTCATTTTCCTTCAGAGCTTTCCCAGATTCTAAGAAAATGAGATGTGGATGTCCCTTTGACACCACAAGCCAAAACCAGGCCTGATACTCCAGAGAGTAACCAAGTAGAGAATCCTGTCAGGCTGCCTAGAATAAGGCATAGCCTGTGGCCCAACAATTCCACCCTTAGGAATAAATCATCGCTACCTGGATGTTTACTGAAGCAATGACTGTGACTGTGAAAAATGGAAAATGATCTTAGAGTCCAACAACAGAGGTTTAGTTAGACATTCTATGGTATTACAACCATAACATTGAAAAATATTCATGATACACTATGGATGGAAGGAATCATAAAAGGGTTTGTACATTTTGATACATTTTACATATAAAAATAAAACTAGAAGATTCTACACTACAGTGTTGACAATGTATCTTGGGATATTCAGTAACCTCTTCCTTCTTTTTACCTATCTGTAGTTTCTAACTTTCTAAATTAAATGAGCATCTACTATTTTGTAATAAGAAAATAGAAACTATAATAAAAGCAAAACAAATTAAACCACCTACGGAACTGCAGAACAGATGCTCTGTGAACATGTAATTGTGGATGGCTCATTGGTGCTTTAAAAACCTGGAGGTGAGTTTTATATTACATTGCCTTTTTAGAACGTGGATTTCCAAAACACAGGACCAGAAGGTATTCCTTTGGAGGCCGAAAAATCCAGTACATTATTTTGCTCTGATTAATAGAAATACTGCCAGTTGGAGTGGACAAAATAATGAAGAGTGCAGTGTGACTTTGTTCTCACACCTGCTCTACTCCCCTTGCGCGTGTGGCCTGTCCAGGCTGTGCCACCTCCCTGGAGCTTAATCCTGACCTCCCAGGCTCCTGGATCTCATTCAGCCTCCCTGCTCAACTGTCTCCTACTGGTGATCTCCCTATTTCTTTTGGTGGAGCCACAACTCCACCTGTTAGCCAGGCTGAATCTAGATATCAACCTTGACTCTCCATCTCTGTTCCATGCCTTATATTCTATCAGCTGTTCCATTCTTTACATTCTATCAGCCAAGAAATCAATCCTTCTAGAAAAATGTTTCCTCTATCCCCTTCAGATGCTCTACAAAACTGTCAAATATACTTTTCTAAAAACTACATTATTATCACTTCCAACTTTACAATATGAGCAGCTCCCATTGTGCACCAAATAGAATGCGGTCATCTTTGCCTGGAATTCAAGACTCCTGTTCTCTCCCAACACCTCCACCATGAACCCTCCTCTCCAGCCAGCTGAGCTCCTCACCAACCTGACACATTGGCTCATTTCCACCTCGGCCCTCTCGCCATCTTCTTCCCTCTGAAAGGCTCTCTTCTTTTTCCATCTGGCCTAAGCCTGCTTACTCTTTGGAGCTCCATCCTTAGGGAGACGTTTTCTGTTCAGTGACATTTGTAAAACACTGATTAAGAGCATGCACTCAGGAGTCAGATTTCCTTGGTTCAGATCTTGCCTCCACCACTTACGGGCTCTGTGACTGTGAACAAGTTACTTAATCTTACTGTGCTCAGTTTCCTCATCTGAGACACTGAGATAATAATAATCCCTACCTTCTAGAGTGTTATGAGAATTAGTTAATAAACGTACAAGGTTGTAGAAGGATGCTGACACAGAGCAAGTGCTCCACAAATGGTAGGGGTTATAGGGGTTGCCCCAGGACACACTGATCTAAGCTTCTCACACCCTACACCTAATGTTCGTAACACAAATCTTGGGAGACACACACACATTCACACACACACACGCACGTATACACACTGCTTTGTAGTTGTAACCTTTTCAACTCCCTGTTCCAATTCTCTAGTGGAATGATCCCTTCTGAGCAGGAACCGCGTCTTACGCTTGCCTACATCACCCACAGCCTGCGCACTGGCACAATGCTACGCAGACAGCAGTTACAGGTGACCGTGTGCAGAACAGCATAGAAGTCAATGAGTGAAACTGAGTTGAATAACTTGTCCAACGGCTCTTCCTTCTTCGCCCCCATGTCATCTAACATGAATTAAGTACAAATGCTGAGAGTCACTAGAAGAAACTTTAGAGATCATCTGGTTAGATTCCTCATTTTACGGAGATCAAGTGACTCACCCAAGGTCACACAGCCAGTTAGAGTCAGAGCTGGGAACAGAATCCCTGGGGAGTCCTGGGAAGAGAGTCTGGCCTGCTTCCCAGCAGTGCATTGGAAAGGAAGTATATGTTTATTATTTCGAATACTTAACCAAATCCTGACCGAATGAGTGACTTAGAGGAAGTTTACGGCTGATGGCAAGACGTAACTGAGCAGACATGTAGTCACCACGTAGAGAAACTCACAGAAATGATAAGTAGATCATGGTCACAGAATTTTGACAAGGTCATCTTTCAAACTTGGCAACTATACAATACTGATGAATAGGAGTTATTTATGTTAACAACTCACATTATTACATTTCTGGCAATTCTAATCTTATGATGCAGAATAAGCCCATCACTACCTCTCTGTGGGTCACATAAAAAAAGATCCCCCAGCTCTGCTTAGCTGAATGCTCCTGGCCACATCTTTGGGGAAGAATAGGCCCTGGAGGAGGAGTGACAGAAGACAATGGAGCAAGCCTCTGCCACCCTTGTTAGGAAAACAAGCAGTGGGTTACTAATGGGCTGGCGTACAGCTACAGTGAGTGTATTATGGCCAAGTTATAATGGTGAATGCAGAGGCTGTGAGCTGAGCCCCATTCGCACCTGGCACAATGAATTCACAGCAGAGAGATGCACTGAATCTCTTCTCTTGCCAACATTTTCAAAGTGCCTGCTCATATGGATGCCACTCGGCTGGTAATCTTCCAAACAAACACCAGAAACCTAAAGAAATAGATGGCTTTCTTAGTGTAGAGACCAGAAGGGTGCTGGGAATTAGGTTCAAGTCTTGTTTACTTTTATTAAAAGCAGCGCAAACTTGAGAAAACCCCTTAGCCTCTGTGGGTCTAACCTAATCATTTGTAAAATGTATGGTCCAGGTCCCATCAGTGGTTCCCCAAACTGACTGCGTATAGCGATCACTGGGGAGGTTTTATGCTCTTCTCCTTGGCTCTTCTTTCACATCTCTCCATCTTATCTTCAAGGCCTGGTCTCCAAAATTAGGTAATCAATCACTCAGTGAATCAGTCTGCCTCCCCAGCCCATGTTGACAGCTTCTTTCTCTCCTTCCCATCAGCCCTCATGCACTCACATGTGACCATGAGCTGTCCACTGTTGCTCTGTAATTGTATCTGGTATGTATGTCATTTATTCCACTAGTTCATAAGCTGCGTGCGGTTGGGACCACTTCTGGGTTTTTTTCACATGGACCTTTCTGACTTAGCGGACTGTCTTCACGTATAAATTAGGTTAACAATAACTCTATTTGCATGCATTCTGCTCAGCTGAACACCTATTAATCTCAAGCTGTGACACTCTTGCACAGTCACTCCTCTTGCTTTTATATGAATGGTTGCTGTCCCATGTCTCTTCCCCCACGATGCCCACCATCTGATGCCATATCTTGTGCCATTCCATGAGCCTCAAAGGTAAATAAATGTATGAAGGCATGTTCTCTCAGATCATTTCAGGTTGGTCCCCAGGGTCCCACACCCCTGCCTTGTCCCATCTGCCGGGTCAAGTTCATAGAAGAGCAGGCTTGTTATAGGGTAGGGTGAGCTTGTGCTGTCTGACCTTCCCTGCAAGGCAAATGAAGCACCACATCGAACCTGGGTGCTAACAGGTAGGGTGGGACTGGGAGCAGGGCTTCAGGCAGGGGGAATTTGAACTGAAAGGCAAGTCCAGGGCAAGGTCAAGATCAAGTCCAACAGGCAGGCTGTGCCCAGGATTTGAATCGGCGAACCCCGCGCCACGGAAACGGAGCGTGTGAACTTGACCACTGTGCCACAGGGCCAGCCCCAGTATATCTATATTTTTTAAAGCAGAGTTTCATTTGTAAAATACATGCAATCACTTAATGTTATACTGTAAACAATGTTCCATTTTACAACAGTCTCCAAAAGTATCATAAAAAATAGTCTGTAATATTGCTATAGTGTCTTTGGTTTGATGCATTAACTTGATTTTAATCTTCTTACTATATTTTAAAGCTGTGTAATGCATCTGGGATAATCAAACTTAGACTTACCAGAATGCTCAAGAAATTCAATGTTTTGGTTAACACCACATTCGTTTTAAATGAGAGTTAGCAGAAAATATTCCCCCCCAAACTATATAACATGCTTCAACACATTTCCCCACCTTAATGACTGTCAGACTGCGACTAGCTGAATCTTAGAGTACCTTAGGACCATTCATCTGAATATCAGTGAGTATCCCGCAGTGTTACAGACATCTAGAGTTTGTACAAGATTGAGATCCACGTCTAAAACAATTTTTAAAAGCAAAATTCCTGAAAAACTGGCTGTTTTCTGGTGATTTACCTCCTTTGGGTACAGTCTTGTGAATAAAATTAGCCCGTCTTTATTGAGATGGCTTAGTATGTGTGCCAAGAGCTTTCCTTGCATGACCTCATTCTAGCCTGACAACACCACAATGAGACTGGTTCTATTATTGCCCTCCCCCGCCCATGTCCTGAGCGGAACAGAGCTGTGTTTTCGTGCAACCTGAACAGTGTCAGAACATCTAGTACACCCAGAGAAGTCCTGTATCCTGCTGCCCCCGCCAATCCATCTCTGGGGAATGTTGGAGGGCCCGGCGCTGGTGCCGTTGAGTCTGGGAAGAGGAAGTTCCACCTTCGGGGCTGGATAAGTTAGTTATTTTTAATTCGACTGTTTTCTGGAGTAGGAATCCATTTGAAGGTAAGTATCAGGGTTTGGCTGCAGCATATTCTTTTGATTTCCCACTGCCCATTGGACCCACGCAGCACCTCCGGGAAGTACGAAACAAAGGGTGAACACCCGGATTTTCAAGGAACCTCATCATCTCCATTTGTTCTGCTCAGAAAATAAAGTAAAACAAGCTTTGGAGAAAAGTGAATTTGAATTAAAAAGACACCTGAACATTAATATGAATGTACTTACTGCCATTGAACTGTATACTCAAAAATCGTTAAAATGGTGAATTTTATGTTATGTGTATTTGACCAAAATAAAATAAAATAAGGCGAAGGGGAAAAAAAGACATCTTCCTTAGGACAACAGTAGAGTATTATCCACAATATTTACCAAAATCTGTGCAGATTCTTTCTCAACAGTGGGATTCTTCTTTTAAACACGTCTTAACATCTTTCTCTTCTTTTAAAATGTCCCCCGGACCACACTCGTCTTGATGCTGGAAGCGGGTTAGCCTGGCCTGGAGCCTGCTGTCTGCCTCCTCGGACCACCCTCCTTTGTGTTGTCTGTGGGTGGAGTAAGCTGTTGCCAACTGTAGCTGAGCGAAAACCAGATGCCCTCCCTTCCCTCTAGAAGCTATTTATTGTTTGCAGAGGAATCAGCCATCAAAGAGATCTCCTGTGCCCCTCCCACTCTTCCAATGTACAGTTCTCGACTGAAAAATGCTAACATCCGACCAGACACCACAGAAACATCCTGAAAGACAATGCCTGGACCCTGACTTTTCTAGGGAACAGGCCAGGGTTTCTTTTTGTCCACATCAGCCCAGCTTGTTTTTATTGCTGTGACCTTACTAACGTCTCCCTCTTCTTACCTGGCATGATTTATGTTTAAGGCATCGTCCAGGCCACTTATTTCAAGTTTCTTCTTATTTTATTCCTGAGCTCAGCATTGTGCCACGAATTCCCCTGCTCTGAACTCTGGAAGTGTGTTGTGATGAGATTAAAGAACCAAAATATTTCCAGAGAAAATGGAAATGGATCATGTTGATTGCTCAGCAGAAGTTGATCAGATGGTCCAGAATATTCTAATATTAATGTTTTTTATATTATCAAGAAAATAAAAGCAAAATTTAAAAAACAACTGCAAAGAAACATTAGGGCTAAGAATATATCCATAGGCTCCAGTTTGTGGAAAATTGATTTGGGGTGCATGGAGGCAGGAGAGGTCCTCTCAGCCTGGGATATGACATGGTCTTTCTCCTAAAGGCAGTGAGGAGTAATATCCCTTACACTGTGGTCTATATCCCTCTGTACCTTCTATGAATTTCTAATTATAAAGGCTTTAAGTCAATGACTCATAATTGTCCTTAGTTTCACCCTAAATTCATCAACATGGCTGACAAGGCCCTCCATGTCTGACTCCTGCTTATGTTCCAGCATCATCTGTCCTTGGTCACATCCTTCCTCCTCCTGCCTTGAGTCACCCCATCTCCCCAACACACCTCAACGCCCCAGGTGCTATACTCTTCCTTGTTCTAGGCAGTTCCCTCCTTCTGGAATTTTCTTACCTTCTCCTCCTATTCCCTTCTTTACCTGGTTAACTCTCAGCTTTCACATAGTAGCTTGAGTTTTCTCCTCCCTGACCCTGTACTTCTGCTAGCAAGGCACTCACACAGCTATGTATTAAAATTGCTTATTTAATAGTTTGTCTTCCCATAGGAGTAAAAGTTCTGCCGGTATAGAGGTCATGTCTATCTTGCTCACTATCTTATCTCCAGCATCTACCTAGCACAGGACCTTGAACACCCTAGATGCTAAAAAAAAATTGTTGGAGGAGAGGAACAAAATAAATCAAGGGAAGGCAGGGAGATGGTGGAAAAATAGGAGAGCAGGAAGCAGGCAGGGCAGAGGAGTCAGGAAATAGAGCATTCAGTAAATGGTAACAACTATTGTCAGAAAAATGTCTCTGCTGTTTCTGATCTGAAAAGAGAGTGGAGCTCTATGTGATCAGAGATGGACTGAGTCTGGAATTAAAATCTGGATCAATTTCAGACTTCAAAGTGCCCAGTGCTCTGGGAAGACTCAGCAGGACTCAGAGCTATCAATGAATTTATCCTTGTAGGGGCACATAAACTCACAAATGTGTACCCCTTTTTAAATTTATTTGTTGGGAAATTGAATTCTATATTGTTTAGAACATAACTTGAAACTGTGACTACTGAGTAGCCTAAAAGGGTGAAAGAACCGTGAGCACAAGTGTGCACTTATTGTACTCAATTAGTTCTCATTGGAAATGCTTCGTTTACTGGGGAAGGAAAATGGTAACACAGCTGAAGCCCGCCATCTAGTGGACTTTCTAAAGACATGGGTTTGCCAATGTGAAGGAAGGAGCAAGTATCACAGAAGAGGAGGCCTGGAAGGGCCCCAAGAGCATATGTCATCCTGGCTCCATCATCTGGGGGGAGGTCCAAGTCCACCTTTTAGGATGAGGGATCATTTATGGTCTTCTGACAGAGCTCTCCTTTCTAAATAGCCCAATGAAATGTGTTAACATTCTGATGTCTAAATAGTTATCCTAAATCAATGCGAAATTTCAATTACTTTCAATTCAAAACTATCCCAGCAAGAAATTAATGCACCATGCTGGAGAAGTATATTCTGTTCATTTTTGTGTTGACCCTTAACTTTAAAAGTCAGATTTCTTAGTCTAGTACCCAAGGAACAACAACAACAAAAAAAATAGATATCAAATCTATTTTCCCTGAAGCTAGCACCTCCATTAAGCCAATAGTGTTCTTCAATCTACATGTATCCCACGAGACATATCTCAGAGCACACAAGCAGGGCAGCAGCTCTACCTGGGCACCAGCAGGCTGGGTTTTAAGACTCACACTGTCATTCACCAGTTTGTCTCCCTGGACTAGATGTCTATCCTCTAAGATTAGCAGTTTCCTCATTTGTTAAAAAGAGAGGCTTAAGTATAATAACCACTAAGGTCTCTTTTGGCTTTAAAGTTCAATGAGCTTGTCCCCAGATTCACAGGTCTCATGATCACAACGGCCTGGCTTGGACCCACTCCAGGCTCAGCACCCCCATTACTGCTCTTTCATTGAACTACTTATGGAGGAGTGACATCAGCATTATGGTGGCATGAGACACTCCCTTTGTATCTCCCCTCTGATTTACAACTAGTAAGACATCCATGACTCAGCAAAAGTTCCTGTGCCCAATACACCAGGATGCCAGAGAGATCCACACATCTGAAGGTGGGTGGATTAGAACACACAGGAGGCATAACTGGGGGAGCAGCAGAGGCGGTACCTACAATCCCAGTCCCCCAGCTGTGGCAGCTGAGCCCACAACCCCAGGGAACCTGGTGGCAGCAGTGGAGGTGGCACACACGACTCCAGCCTCCCAGTCACAGCAGCACCTGCAGCCACAGGAAACCTGGCAGCAGTGCTGTGGCCTATCACCCCAGACACTCCAGCCACGGTGGTGCCCATGTCTCCAGCCCCATCACCTGTGTTGGCTGTGCCTGCAACCCCAGCTCATCCTCCACCTTCACCCTCCCGCCCACTGCAGCAGGGATGCCCATGACACAGGCAACTCTGTCTGTCATCCTGGTGCCCTCAGTGGGGATGACAGTGACCACAGTGACACTGGCCACAGCAAGGCACCAGCAAACCCGGAGGCACAAGCAGCAATGAGAAGGACATGGGTGACATCTCTGGCAGAGGTCGTAGAGGGTAGAAAGTGCCAGTTTTCAAATATAGCCAGAGGAAGCTCAAGTAAGAAAAACCAAAACTTGTGCTACAGTGCCACCTACTGAAAAAAAGGGAAAAGTCTCTAATTACCAACTTCTTGAATTGTAGACTCAAAGTAAACAAAGCTTTATTTAAATAAGAAAAATGTCTGCTACCTCAAATGCGCCAGCAGAGCAACAACTCAGCAAGCACCATGAAAAACCACAGTCACACAGTATCACAGAAAGAAAATGACAATTTTCCAGAAATCAAACTTAAAGTCACAGAAGATTGTGATCTGATAGAGAATCCAAAATAACTGTCAGGAATAAAGTCAACAAGCTACAAGAAAACTCAGAAAGGTAGTTCAACAAGCTCAGGAATATAATTAATAAACAGAGGAAATACTTTACCAAAGAGCTTGAAATTTTAAAAAAGAACCAAACATAAATTCTGGAGCTGAAGAACTCAATAAATGAGATGAAGAATGCATTAAAAAAGCATTGGAAGTAGAGCAGACTATATGGAAGAGAGAATTAATGAGCTCAAAGAATAACAATCTAGAAATGAATCAGGTAGGAAAGGAGAGAGAATTGACATTTTTTTAAAAATGAAGTAATTTTACTGGAACTATCTGACTCCATTAGCAAAGGCAACATAAGGATAATGGATATCCCAGAAGGAGGGGAGAAGGAGAAGGGAACAGAGAACTTATTTCAAGAAATAATAGTTGAGAATTTCCCAAACCTGGGGAAGGAACTGGATAAACAAAGTCCATGAAGCTAATAGAATACCTAATCATCTCAATGCAAACAGATCTTCTCCAAGACACATTATAGCAAAACTGCCAAAAGCCAAAGATAAAGAAATAATTTTAAAGGCAGCAGGGACAAAAAGACAGTAGCCTACAAAGGAACTTCCATTAGGCTGTCAGATTTCCCAGCAGAAACTCTACAGGCCAGGAGAGAATGGAATGACATACTCAAACTGTTGACAGATAAAAGCTGTCAGCCAAGAATACTCTATCCAGCAAAGTTATTCTTCACATATGAAAGAGAAATAAAAACTTTCCAGATAAACAAAAGCTGGGGGAGTTCATCACCACTAGACATGCCTTATAAGAAATGTTGAAAGGAGATCTTCTACCTGAATTGAAAAGGCAAAAGTACACAAAAATTTGAGTAAGGTGATAAATAGACAGAATCAAAAAATTGCAATTCTATATCAGAATTGGTTGTTAAATAATTATAGCCCTAAGGTTAAAGGAGAAAAGAGCATTAAAAATAACTATAGCTACTTCAATGTTGTAATGAATTCACAACATAAAAAGGGATAATTTGTGACAACAAAAACATAAAAGAGGAAGAGGAAAAGGATGAAACCTCTATAGGCAAATGATAAGATGCATCAGCAGAAAAAGGACTAGTTTATCTATGAGACAAACCTCATGGTAACCACAAAACAAAAATCTAGAGCAGAGATATGAAACATAATAAAAGAGGAAACTGAGAAAAACATCACAGAAAGTCACCAGACTAAAATGGCAGACAGAAACACAAGGAAAAAGAAAGAATGATGATATAAAGTATAAAGCAACCAGAAAACAAAAGATAAAATGGCAGTACTAAGTCCTCTTATACCAATAATCACCCTAAATGTAAATGGGTTGAATTCACCAATCAAAAGATACAGTGATTGGATGGATTAAAAAACAAGACACAACTATATGCTGCCTCTGGGAGACTCATCTCATCTCTAAAGACAAGCATAAACTCAAACTGAAAGGATGGAAGATGATACTTGAAGCAAACGGCAGCCAAAAGTAAGTGAGTGTAGCCACACTCATATCAGACAAAATAGAGTTCTAACCAAAAAAGGTAACAAGAGACAAAGATGGACATTATATAATGAAAAAGAGGACAATCCATGAAGAAGACATAACATTTATTAATTTATATGCATCTAACATAGTAGCACTAAAATATATAAAGCAATTATTAACAGACCTAAAGGGAGAAATTGACAGCCACACAATAATAGAAGACTTTAGTACCCTACTTACCCTACAATGGATAGATTATCTAGACAGAAAGTCAACAAGGACACCTTGACCTTAAATGAAACATTAGACCAGACGGATTTAATAGACAGATACAGAGCATTCCATCCAAAAGCAGCAGAATACACATTCTTCTTAAGTGCACAGAACATTCTCAAGGATAGTCCATATGCTGGGACACAAAATAAGTCTCAATAAATTTAAGAAGTTTGAAATCATATCAAGGATCTTTTCTGACCACTATGGTATAAAACTAGAAATCAACTACAAGAAGAAAGCTTGGAAAATCACAAATATGTGAAGACTAAACAACATGCTATTGAAGAACTATTGGGTCAATGGAGAAATAAAAAATACAGGAAGACAAGTGAAAATGAAAATATGATGTGCCAAAATCCATGGGATACAGCAAAAGTAATATTAAGAGGAAAGTTTATAGCAATACAGGCCTATCTGAAGAAACAAGAAAAATTCCAAATAAACAATTTAACCTTACACCTAAAGGAACTAGGAAAAGAAGAACAAAGTCCAAAGTCAGTAGAAGGAAGGAAATAATAACAGAGCAGAAACAAATGAAATAGAGACTAAGATGACAATAGAAAAGATCAATGAAGCTAAGAGCTGACTCTTTGAAAAGATAAAATTGACAAACCTTTTGTTAGATTCACTAAGAAAAAAAGAGAGAAGGCTCAAATAAAATCAGAAACAAAAGAGAAGTTACATGAATAGTATAGAAATACAAAGGATTGTAAGAGACTACTATGAACAGCTTTACACCAACAAATTGGACGACCAAGAAGAAATGGATAAATTCTTGGAATCATACAATCTTACAAGACTGAATCATGAAGAAATAGAAAATCTGAATAGACTGATCGTAATAAGGAGACTGAAACAGTAATCAAAAATCTCCCCGAATACAACAGTCTAGGACCAGATGGCTTCACTGGGGAATTCTATCAAACATTCAAAGAAATGTAATACCTATCCTTCTCAAACTCTTCCAAAAGATTGAAGAGGAAGGAACACTTCCTAACTTATTTTACAAGGTCAACGTTATCCTGATACCAAAACCAGACAACCACAACACAAACACAACCACACACACACAAAATACAGGCCAATATCTCTCATGAACATAGATGCAAAAATCCTCAAGAAAATATTAGCAAACTGAATATAACAATACATTAAAATGATTATATATCATGATCAAGTGGGATTTACTCCAGGAATGCAAAGATGGTCGCACATCCACAAATCAACCAACATGATAACACCACATTAACAAAATGAAAGATAAAAATCATATGATCATCTCAATAGATGCAGAAAAAGCACTTAAGATTCAACATCCATTTGTGATAAAAACTCTCAACAAAGTGGGTATAGAAGGAATGCACCTCAATTAATGAAGGCCATATGCAGCAAACCTATTGCTAACATCACACTCAACCATGGAAAACTGAATGCTATCCCTCTAAGATCAGGAATAAGACAAGGATGCTCACTCTCACCATTCTTATTCAACATAGTATTAAAGTCCTAGCCAGAGCAATTAGGCAAGAAAAAGAAATAAAAGTCATCCAAATTGGAAAGAAAGAAGTAAAACTGTCACTATTTTTGGTTGGCATGATTTTATGTATAGAAAATCCTAAAGAATCAACCAAAAAACTATTAGAAATAATACACAAATACAATAAAGTTGCAGAGTACAAAATCAGTTTGCAAAAATTCGTTGCATTTCTACACATTAACAAAGAACTAGCAGAAAGAGAAATTAAGAAAACAATCTCATTTATAATTGCAACAAAAAGAATAAAATACCCTGGAATAAATTTAACCAAGGATGTGCAAGAGCTGTACACTGAAAATTATAAGATATTGTTGAAAGAAATCGAAGAAGACACAAAGAAATGGAAAGAAATTCCGTGCCTACGGATGAGAAGAATTAACATTGTTTAAATGTCCACATTACCTAAAGCAATCTACAGATTCAATGAAATCTTTATCAAAATCCCAAAAACACTTCTCACAGATATAGAACAAAAAATCCTAAAATTTGTATGGAACCACAAAAGACCTCAAATGGCCAAAGCAATCCTGAGAAGAAAGAAAAAAGCTAGAGGAATCACAGTCCCTGATTTCAAATTCTACTACAAAGCCATAATAATCAAAAAAGCATGGCATTGGCAGAAAAACAGACACACAGATCAATGGAACAGAACTGAGAGCCCAGAAATAAAATCACACATATACGGACAACAGATTTATGACAAAAGAGCCAAGAACATACAATGGAGCAAGAAAAGTCTCTTCAATAAATGGTGTTGGGAAAACTGGACAGCCACATACAGAAGAATGAAACTAGACCATTATCTTATACTATACACAAAATATTAACTCAAAATGGATTAAAGACTTGCATGTAAGACATGAAACCATAGAACTCCCAGAAGAAAACATAGGCAGTGTGCTCTTTGACATCAGTCTTAGCAATATCTTTTTGGATATGTCTCCTCAGGCAAAGTAAACAAAAGCAAAAATAAACAAGTGGGACTACATCAAACTAAAAAGTTTCTGCACAGCAAAGGAGACCATCAACAAAATGAAAAGGCAGCCTATATAATGGAAGAAGATACTTGCAAATCATATATCTGATTAAGGGTTAATATTCAAAATATATTAAAGAACTCATACAACTCAAAAACAAAAAAACCCAAACAACCCAATTAAAAAATAGGCAGAGGGTCTGAATAGAATTTTTTCCAAAGATGACATACAGATAGCCAACAGGCACATGAAAAGATGTTCAGGGGCCAGCCCCCTGGCCAAGTGGTTAAGTTTGCATGCTTGCATTGGTGGCTCAGGGTTTCGCCAGCTCACATCCTTGGTGTGGACATGGCACTGCTCATCAGGCCATGCTGAGGCAGCATCCTACATGGCACAACCAGAAGGACGTACAACTAGAATATATAACTATGTACTGGGGGGCTTTGGGGAGAAGAATGAAAAAAAAAGATTAGCAACAGACATTAGCTCAGGAGCCAGTCTTTAAAAAAAAATGTTCAACATGACTAAATATTAGAGAAATGCAAATCAAAACCACAATAAGATATCACCTCACCCCCGTTAGAATGTTTATTATTAAAAAGACAAGAAATAGCAAGCATTGGAAAGAATGTGGAGAAAAGGAAACCCTAGTAAACTGCTAGTGGGAATGTAAATTGGTGCAGCCACTATGGAAAACAGTATGGAGATTCCTCAAAAAATTAGGAATAGAAATACCATATGATCAGTGATTCCACTTCTGGGTATTCATCTGAAGAATATGAAAACGATAATTCGAAAAGATATATGCACCCCTGTGTTCATTGCAACATTACTCACAATAGCCAAGATAACGGAAACAACCTAAGTGCCCATCAATGGATGAATGGATAAAGAAGAGGTGGTATATATATATACAATAGAATACTACTCAGCCATAAAAAGATAAAATCTTGCCATTTGTGACAACATGGATGGAACTCGAAGGGATTAAGCTAAGTGAAATAAGTCAGATAGAGAAAGACAAACACTATCTGGTTTCACTCATGTGGAATATAAAAAAATAAATGAACAAAC